CTTATTTGTCTAACCCGCGGGCTGCTGATACTAACAGGTCCACTGTTGATATTGCATACCGGGACGTAAATTCTGAATCTGATACTTATTGGGCTACCAAGTATACTGCCCCGAACAGTGTTTACCTAAGTGACAAAAAGGTTCATTTGAATGCCAATGCTTCTGCCTCTGATTTCCTTAACATAACCTGGGGTCTTGCTGTAGAAAAGAAAGCTAATTATCTTGTTCGGGTTCACTTCTGTGACTTGGAGAGTTCTTCTCCTAATCTTACATACTTCAATCTATTCATCTACAACAACTCCCGCTCAATGATCAATTCCATCAACATATCTAACCAGTTGCCTGTTCCATTTTATTATGATTATGTGGTCAATACTGATGCCTCTGGATTCGTGACTATCAGCATAGCACCTCTTCCTTCTCCAGTTCCAAATACGTATCTGAACGGCCTAGAAATTATGAGAATTATTGATTCTTCAAATTCCGTACCGTTGGAGGAATCAAATGTGAATAAGCATCTCCCTCTCGTGTTGGGTTTATCGCTTGGAGTTGGAGGTTCCGTCCTAATTTCTATTATACTGGTTGGGCTAATTTGGCGGGCGAAGTTTATGAAGCAAGAACCCAAGCCTGTTGATAATCCAGACTGGTTACCATTGCCGTTTTATGGAGGAGGAAGTTCTCACAGCAGATTGACTGAAGAAACTTCCCATGGCTCTCCTCTTCCAAACTTAAATCTTGGGCTCAAAATCCCTTTCGTTGAGATCCAATCTGCAACCAACAACTTTGATACAAAAAGATTAATTGGAAAGGGCGGTTTTGGCAACGTTTACAAGGGAGTTCTCAGGAATGGTTTGAGAGTGGCTGTGAAAAGAAGTGAGCCTGGGTCAGGACAAGGCCTTCCAGAATTCCAGACAGAGATTATGGTTCTGTCCAAAATTCGACACAGGCACCTTGTTTCCTTGATTGGGTATTGTGATGAAAGGTCTGAAATGATTTTAGTTTATGAATATATGGAAAAAGGGACACTGAGGGATCATTTGTACAATTCAAATCTGCCAAGCTTGCCTTGGAAGCAGAGGCTTGAGATTTGCATTGGAGCTGCGGGGGGTCTTCATTACCTTCACAAAGGAGCATCAGGGGGCATCATTCACCGAGACGTTAAGTCTACAAATATATTGCTTGATGAAAACCATGTTGCTAAAGTTGCTGACTTTGGCCTCTCAAGAACAGGCCCTCTTGATCATCAACCTTATGTCAGCACCGGTGTTAAAGGCACCTTTGGGTATCTAGATCCTGAGTATTTTCGGTCACAACAGTTAACAGAAAAATCTGATGTTTACTCATTTGGCGTGGTACTTCTTGAAGTGTTATGTGCAAGACCAGCCATTGAACCTATGCTGCCACGGGAGCAGGTGAACTTGGCTGAATGGGGACTCCTTTGCAAAAACAAAGGAATGCTCCAAGAGATTATAGATCCTTCCATCAAGGGGCAAATAGATCCAAACTCACTCAGGAAATTTAGCGAGACAGTGGAGAAATGTTTACAAGAAGATGGCTCTGATAGGCCTAGCATGGGTGACGTATTGTGGGACCTGGAGTATGCACTACAGCTTCAGCGAGGCTCAATTCAGAGAGAACCCCATGAGGACAGCTCTAGTGGTGCTTCTGCATCAATTCAACTGCCCAGTGTTCGTCGACTTCCTTCACTTTCTACACTTGGTGAATCAGGTGATATGTCCATGGTAAGGGAAGACGAATCTGATAACACAGTGGGTTCAGTTTTCTCACAGTTGAAAATTGATGATGCGAGATAGGTTATCATCATCAAGCCCTTCGAGGTACAATATTACCTGCTTTTTGTTTTATATAGGGCAGAGTAGCTGCAGTGTTAATAGCTTGCCTAATTGTATATTTTGTTTTTCTCTCATCCCCTGCTGTGATTGTTAATGGAAGTTTGTTTAAGCTACGAAAACAAATGTAAGATCAATGATAAATTTTTGTGATTGATGGAGAACGACTCCTTCAAAGCTTTGTGTTGATGGTACTTCCAATATCATACTATACATGCATAGAACGAGTGTCGACTCAGTAAGATAACATAGTAATGGCACATACAAGGATCACAAACGTGAACTTCAGTACAGATTTGCAAACTTTGAGGCCAAATCTCACCACAGCTATGAACTTCAATTATGTTTGTGAGGTGATTTAGAGTATAAAGCTGGCAGGCATGATGTGTTAGCAGCAGCGAAGGCCTTGGCCATTTGATAGGTTTTATCATCATTCTCATTCGGGTGATCTGGAGCATGAGGCGTATTTCACCCAATGCTTTTTCGGTTGCTTGTGGCTATGTGTAATAGTATATACAACCAACATATTGTCGCCTTGATTACTTACCCTGGCGTTCATGGTAATCGCTTCACACAGAAATATCATATGCTTACTTCACTTGCCTTGAAATATTTGGCATGAGCTGCTCCAGCGGATTATTTCAGTTACAACGGTTCAATATCACCTTCCAATTACTGTTTTTGAGCTACCAAGAACCTCTGCTTTTCATTAATTCAGACTCAAAATTTGTCACGCGAGATGCGACTAGCAAATTTAAGAATACTCAACTTGTCTGCTGTAAATTCAACACTCGAATATCTTTTATATATATATAGACAAAGATTATACATTCCATAGTTAATGTACAAAGCTGCTCTATAATGAATCCAAATGTAACCAAATAACCAAATCAAAATGAAAAACAGGTAGGGATCATGAATTGAAAGGCTGCTAGTGACCAGAACCTTTTCTGCTGGGCCCTGAAGCCATTGTATGGAATTCCTTCCCAATCAAAACCCGACTGCTTTGATTTTCTGCACGGTTGTCTGTCTTTTGCTCGACTGAAGAAGCTCCCCTTGGACTATCAGTCTGTTCTCGAGGTTGATGAATATTGGCCCTCTGTTCCTTGACTGTTGATGCAAGAACTCTACCATTGACAAGACAGGGCCTTGTCAAAGAGAGCATCATCGTCATCATGAGGGCGATCAGAAGGAAAAGAGAGAGCCTTCTCATTCTAGAGTTGGCAGAAACTGTCTCTCCCAACCCTATTGGTAATGAGAAGCTTGAAACTTTTATACCCGAACAGAGTGACGAAGGTGAAAAGATACGTTTGGCATCTCCAACGAGTATGCTATGCGTTCTTTTGCATATGAACGAGGAGCTTGGAAGGGCAAATGGACGGTGAAGGGCTTTTAAGGGTGGGACCTCTTAAAGACAGTATAAGTTGACCGAAACTTTTCTTATAGGCGATAATCAGGCACAGTCATCCCTATTACCCAATACCACCCTTCCCATTTGAGTCAGGTTCAAAGCTTGACTTTAGAGAATGGCTTTGTGACTTGGGAAACACGCAGGATCCAGGCGTTCCAAGCTTCTGGTGCATTTTGTTATGGTGAGGAAAGTGGGTACCTGATGCAAAAGTGGGGGCGGAATCAATATACCAAGGTGATTATGAGCCAGCGGAGTCTTTGGACTTGGGTTCACATCCTCACAAATTGCACTGACAGGAAAGATTGCGAGATTCTCAATTATTTATTTTCTGTGGATAGGAGTAAATGAATAAATTTGTGTTGTCTCAAGGCTTTTATAATTCACTGGGTTATTCAGGAAATTGTGTCTGGCTATTTCTTTCGGCGCATGAAGAGGAGAAAAATGGGAAGGAAGGTATCTACAGGTTTACAACTGTAGCACAAAATAAGGGGAGGTGTGCGTGCGTCAACAAATTAATGGAGGAAAGGTGTAGTAAGCGCATGTTCTCTTATTCCTTTTTCACTTTTTGAAATCGATGGACGACAGAATGGTGCATCCACGCTCAAAGATAGCCAGAATCATCAATTGGTGGTTTCCAATCATTTTTTTATTAAATCCAAAGGGCCTAAAAATCTAAGCATCTTTTAGTAAAAGGAATGGAACGGAATATGTAATTTTACCTACAACCTTGGCCCTTTTCCACACTCTGTTTTTTATCAGAAGTGCCATCTCACGCAAAAAGATTGAGTTTTCTTTTTTGTTCCTGGATTTTTCTTCTGTTACCATCATTTTTGGGGTGGGCTTTTATTCTTCCCTCCCTCAACGTGTATTTTTTTAATTGGCGAAGGATAATCTCCAACACTAGTCTTTCTTTTTCTTTTGTGCTTGTAAATGCGAGGTGCAGTACATGGCACTGTTGGAAGATTTGACATGGAACAAGCATTAAAACAAGTTCATTGGTTTTGGTGCGAGTCGCTTGAATAGGAATTAAGGAGAGGATGCTGATTGGGCGTCCGATGAGCGTGTATATTATTTTGTTTAGAACCGCCTTTGTTCTCTAGTCAAGTGGAGAAGCCAGGATGACAAAGCAAGGGCTGAGAGAGACAGAGAAAGGGAAATCGCTAGTCCGAGAACAGAATAATAAACATACATATTGAATGGGGCTAATCAGAGCAAAAGGAGAAGTGACAGGAATAAAAGAAGAAAGGGACCGAGGAAGAACATATAATTGAGTTTGATCCCGGAAGGAGATTCACAGAGACAGGGACAATCATTTTAAGGGAACGGTGAACACTGCTCGCGATTTCGGATTTATTCAAATTCAAGTCTTGAGGAATTGCTGGCTGGCGATTAGTTTCAAGAACAGAGCCCCTCACTCGGTCCTCATCAATCGCCTTCTATTGAGCTGTTCAAAATTGACTGCTTAGCGCCTTCTCTCGGAAGCCTTAGCACATTGTGATCTTTCATTTCATCGAAACCTGCCACCGCTGCATTCAATTTTCCTCCCTAAAAAAATTTGTTCCACAAAAGACAAGAAACAAATACCTTGTTTAGGCAGTAGTTCCCCTGTATGATTGAACCATAATTAAAAGAAGAGGGAAATCGCCATAACCTTGGGAAGTGGCGGCTAGGGTAATGAAAAATATCTTACTCGTATAAAGCTATTTTTATTTGGGATCCAGTATCGTTTAAATCAAGGAAAGAGGAGGGGCGGTTGGAGGGAGAGAAATGTCGGCAAAGGCAGAGAAATTTGGCAAAGGTAAGAGGAGGTTGTAGGAAGTAATTTTTTATGCGATCTCGTCTTGTAGTATTCACATACCAGACCTAAACATCGAAACTCTTCTTTTGTTGTAGTGAAGTTTAATGGCTTTTAGTAGAAGCTCATCTTCACACACCATGGGCAAAAAGCGCAGGTGAAACGAGTGTCCAAAGATGTAGATATGGAAATGAAGTTATAGTCCTCACTTCATGAATAAAACAAAATTATAATAGATTTCTTAAATGTCCAAATTCAAGGTTAGCGAGTGACATGTTTATTTTTAATCTGATTAAATTGCTAGCCTTCAGAATTTCTCTCACAAATTTAATGGGTTTTATTCATATCTTTCACATTTAGGAGAGATGGGCATGCAATTACTTTGATTAGCTTGATGGAAAATCTAATGCTAGATGAGTTAAAGAAGATGAAGGAAGAGAATGTTCAGTGTTAAACGAGGCTAAAGAAATTGTTATGGATAAAGAAAGCATGGGTGGCACCTTCAGTTGTCAACCAAAGGATGCTAAACATTACAAAAATATCGTAAGATGCAATGGTTGCTATTACTGTAATTATTATTAAAGCTATTTTTATTTGGGATCTAGTGTTGCTTTAATTGAATGAAAGATATCATACCCAACTAAAACAAAAATTAGCCGGAAAAAAAAACAAGGAAATACTCTCTTGCTTGTTAACTACTATCTTTTAAGATTCCAAAAAAATACCAAAATGATGTCTTTGAAAAGGAAAAGTAGCTTTTATTTCTGTTTGATTTTTATTAATTTTTAACAATTATCATGTCTGCTATATTATCTATTAACTCATATGTAAACATTACTAAATCTCCCAGCACGATTTAAATAGAATAAAAAGAAAGACATGAAACCATTTCCCAAAACAGGAATTTCTATTTTTTGTGAAAAATTTATTAATTGTTTTTACAATTATATTGAATTGAATACTAGTAAAAGCTGGTTGGTAAAATAGAATACTGGTAAAAGTTGGGTTTGCTAGCTACAGCATGGTGCTTTCTCCTCTATTTACAGCTCAAAAAAATTACAAGTAGGATTCTTCCCAGTTCCCCCCAGTTTTGCTTTCCATTTAACGATTTAATATTTTAAATCTCAACTTCCTCAGTCTAATGCCCCAAGTTAATAGGGGTATTATTATAATCAAGTAATAACATCTTGAAATTTGGAACATAACATATACGACTCTTCTCTTTGATATAAGTCATTTGTAACCTATTATCATATACCAAGAAATACATAAGATTGTTTTGTTAACGTTTTATCTCCCTCCACTTGTCTAAATCATTCTTGTATCTTTTCCTTCTTTCTCTTTTTTTTAATGAAAACTAAATAAAAGTAAAATCGAAAATAAGCATTAAATAATATTACAAATGAATTACATTTAGGATCAAGACTTTCTCTAACAAGTGGTTTACATATAAGATCAGAGTGATACTTAGGTAGAAGATATAAGAAGCATTTGCTTAAATGATAAGAAGCCGTACTGCTTGTGTGCTCCGTCACAGATTTAATATTTCACATTTTTTATTTTTTAAAATTGTAATATATTATTCTCTCAAGTAAAATATGGGCCAACATGGAATGGGCCTGTGGATTTTCTTGGTGCAAAGAGTTAGGTTAAGGAGTACGGCGGAGGGTTCCGTGCCGCTTACGTATGAATTTGTCATGGGATCCGATTCAGAAGAATAGTGCTGATGGGGCTTCCCAACTGCCCACAATGGAAATACACTTGTTAATTCTTGGTTGGGTGTACCGTTGGGTCAATTTTTTTTAAAAAAATAGAATAATGGTGTCAAAAATTAAAACACGTTGAACCTACGTATGAGGATCTAAACGAATTGACATGGTAGCCGAGTAAGAAAAACGAATCAAGGTCTTCCAGCCCCTGCCCGAACAGCCAGAGATGGTTTCGTCTGGGAATTTTCACCCGTGCTCTTCAGCAATTTTCTTATTATTAATTTTTGTCTTCGTAATTCTAGAAGAGTAAAAAACTTAATTTAATATCAGTGATCAGTAAAACTAACAGAAATCTATTCTTCAAATTCATGGGATTGCATATAAATAATAGTGTTTAAATGAAAACCAAATCATAATTTAAAAGTACTTTTACTATATTTGACATTAAAATATAAAAAAAAATTATTTCAATTTGCGTAAAAATATTTTTAAAAAGTGCTTCTTAGTGAAACACCTCCTAAAATAAAGGAGAAAAAAAAGAGATGAACATTGGGGAGCTTTTCAAAAGAATTTTCAGTGAGAGAAGCTTGTCAAGTTGATTGACTATAACAGAAATTATAAAACATAAAATAACAATCATGCCAATTGCGAGCCACGTACACCGACGATGAGCTGGCTAATCGCTGATTCACAGTTTCCTCTGGGCGTGCATATCTCTGTTGGGGGAAATATTCATAATGTTTACTTCCTAACAAAATTCATCCAACTTTACGTATACTTATAACAATTTCAATTACAATAAATAAATTTCAACAATTAAAAGACTAGCTGCTGCAGTGCATAGAATATTCTGATTCACTGGATGATAAACACATTCGTCTGAATTTCGAGCACCATATATATATGCATCCGTCCTCTGAATCCGAACCCTTACCCTAGAAAGGCTTTGGGTGTCTGCAAACCCGCCGGGCCGCCACCACTCTCCTCAGGATAAGCTAGCTACAGCTGAACTGCATGACGTCGTTCACAGTCTCCTTTTCAAGCTTTTAGACCACGGACCAGTATTTCGTGAATATTCGTTTTCTCGTCGTATTAATGTTTTGGGCCACCAGCAATGAAATACTAGCTTCGGTCCTTAATATAAGACCTCGTTTTTTTTTTATTTTGGTCATAAATATAAGATTTCAATCCTTTTATCTTTCACATTTATTCATTTTTTTCCAAGAATTCTTTTAATATGGCATTTTTAGCCAATAAACTTGATTAACAAAGATATTTTAGGAAAGATAATATTTATTTATTAAAAAAAACTAACTCAACTTATTTTTTAATCTATTTAAATTAATAACCAATTCTTATATTTAGGACTAGGTAATAGTAATTTGTCTTAGCCCAATCCCGTTTTGGGCTCAAACACCATGAGGCCCAGAAAAAGGAACGGCAAAAAGAAGTTGGATCGCAATTGCTAATCGCTCACTGGTCTCATGTGACGAAGCTTCGTCTCACCCGCGCCCCCGAGCTGCCACGAAGACAGTCAGTCAGTCACAGACGACGTCTTTTACTTTTGACCGGTCACCACGTACTGCTCCAACTAATCAACCACTTTAATTCGGAATATTCAAAACCAACCAGTGATGTCAGGCAATTCCAGTCTTTGGTCTTCATCTTCCAACGAGCCCCTCGCTTCAACTTTCCCCATGACTTCACTGCCGTGGGAGCCAAGCGAAATTGGTCATCCATTCCCATTTGGATATGCCCGGGTCAACCCAACAACCTAACCCCCACCTTCCTCTCTTCCCATTTTCATGCTTGCCATCCTATTTAAGGACTCCATATCTTGCACTGATTAAATCCATCAAACAACTTCTTTCATTCTCTACATCCCTCTCTTTCAACCATTTGCTTTTGTACTCTCTTGAGCTTTGTTGTCTTCCAACTTGAAAGCATGGCAACGGCGGCGTTCAAAGTTCAGGGTCTTTTGGTTCTGTTTCTGTTAGCGAACGGTGCCTTCACAGTGTCAGCAGCTCGTCCTTTGAGCATCATTAAGGAAGTGAACGCAGGCATTGAGGAGGACACGGACGTGTTTGACTGGTTATCTCTGGGATCAGTGAAGCAGTCGGGGCCAAGTGCCCCCGGGGAGGGACACAAGTTCACCAACTCCGACACTTTAGGAGGGATTAAGAACTCGGGTCCCAGCGCTGGAGGAGGGGGACACAAATTTACCAATAGTCAGACCTTCGGAGATGTTAAGGACTCCGGCCCCAGCGGCCCCGGTCAAGGACACTAGTCATCGGCCACATGCCATCTAATCACCAAGAAACTTGCAGATTATTTAACTCCTTCATTCTTTTGGTTTGTTGGTTCTTTTTTTTTTTTCCCCTTCTTCAAGATCTTGTGTTACCAAGAATATTATGATTGTATTGCATATAATATAATTATATGTATAATGACGTAAGCTGGGGCCGGGAGGCCAAATATTTCAAATTTAATATACATGCATACATTTATGTATTGTTAATTTGATTCCTTAACATATTTTTATTTTTTAAATACTTTAAGTTACAAATAATCATTAGATAACAATTATGCGTGTGTATTATATTTTAGATGTATTATTTCTGCCGGCGTGATAAAGAATTCAGATTGATAATCTTAATGGTTTTCTCTGTGTTTGTTTTTTGCCCAAGTATTACTTTCATCTCCAATCCTTAGCTAATTAATAATGGTTAACTTTAGCAACAAATCACTACCAGGATAAAAAAAACTTAAGCTACGATAGACACAAATCTTCTGTTCGAAGAAATACGAAAAGCAAGACCAGAACATCTTCAAAGGGCGCGGGAACCAGCGTTGTGTATGTAATGTTTATTTTTTGTTTCACAGAACAAACTCTTCCCCGGTCTTTTTTATTATTTCGTTTTGTAGGGTCTCATCAGGATAATATATATCAGGAACAACAATCTTCGTAATTGCGAATCCGGAACACATACTTCAGGCTTCATACTGGACACTTGTCAAACTTATCATAGAGACGACAAAAGAGAATAGCAGTATGACTCTGTGAAGGGTTAATATCGGATCCCTTCCTCTGATAGCTCGATAGTATTACAATCATCAAAAGTATGAGTAGCACAGTGAGATGGATGGGAGGAACGTATATGTTCCATGACTTCGAAAATCGCTCATTCGCTAAACGCTCAAATTAACTGGTTCACACAGCAAAACAACTCTGCTGGAAGAGAGTTTTCTCTCCTATTACCATTTAACTAGGCGATATATGCATTCACGAAACTTACTTACCATCATTAAAGTACGTTCTTTTCTTTAATTTAATTAAAATTTCTTTCTTGATTATTTTTCTTAGTCTCTGTACTTCGACACAGCAACACAGTTTGTTTGTGAAATCACAGTTCTTTTTATCACTTTATTACTATAGCTCCCCCAAAAGAACTTTACTTGTATGGAAGGGTGCAAGTTATGGACAGACGCTGGGCCAACGTCAGTGAAATCGTCATAGCTCATGCTTATTGAGGCCGAATATAGTCGTACAGCAGCACAGAATAAAATAAAATAAAAAAGCACCCCTTTTTGTCCTCAAAAAATGTTCTAATAAGAAGTTAGTCAGTTACAATACAAATTGAATTTTAATTTGTTTTCCCCCAACCGAAAGAAGGAAAAGCAGGAAAAATACAACATACGTACTCTTCAAAATAAGAGGCTGCCGGCATGTGATGACAATTTGAATTTGACTATAATTTTGAATACTTTATTTAGTCTTATATATCTTCATCTGTCGTGATTGTATACTTGTACACATAACAAAAAGAAATGCGATGGCTTTTGAGACTTCGACTCCTCAAATGAAAGCGACTTACCAGTGGCGCATGTTCTTTTTAATATAATACTATATGGGCATATTGAGTTATTAGTAGACACGATCTAGCTTTGTGGCTCTAATTATAGCATGAAATCTTAAGGCGAGCAAAACTTGGCATTAATCTGCCATCTCGGCTTCCAAAATAAAAGTTGTATTGTTATTTCTCACTGGCTATGAACTTTCGTCCTGCTTGCGCCCATTGATCGGCCATCATACACACAGTCACACAGGCGACGTCTTTTAATTATTTTGACTGGTCACAACATGCTGCCCCAATAAATCAACCACCACTTTCATATCCTGATGTTCAAACTCAAGTGACGTCACGTATTTAGTCTTCGGTCTTCATCTTGGAGCGCCTCGCGCGCTTCAACTTTTCCGATGAATTCACTGATGCCGTGGGTACCAACGGAAACTCAACCTATCCCATATGGACACGTAACCCTTCCTCTGTCTTCTTCCTCGATCAATTCCATGTTTTAGTAGATACTCCCAGGGAGTTAGATAACTGTCCGCAGTCAAATAAATATATATATATATATATTTCAAGGACTTTCAGAAACCTCCTCGGCTGCTTCCTCCCCGAGAATATGATCAATCTATTCAAATTGGGTTTGAATATGGCAATGGATTTTCAAGCCTTATCGTTGGAATATGCATGAGTCAAACCAACCTGACTCACCTTCCACTCTTAACTTCATGCAGGCCAATCCTATTTAAGGGATTCCTGGATCTAAGTGTCTCCATGTCCTTCACAACTCTAATTAAAACATCAGACACTTTATTTCTCTCTCTATCTCTCTATCTTGCCTTCAATTTCGAGCATTGTTTTTGTACTCTCGAGCCTTATTTATCTTCCAACTTAAAAGCATGACAACCGCAGTGCTCAGAGTTCAGGGCCTCTTGGTTCTGTTTCTGTTGGTGAACACTGTCTTCACACTATCAGAAGCTCGGCCTTTGAGCATCACTAGGGAAGTGAACACAGGAATTAGGGAGGACCTGGATGTGTTTGATTGGTTGTCTCTGGGATCAATGAAGCAATCAGGGCCAAGCGGCCCTGGTGAGGGACACAAGTTCACCAACTCTGAGACTTTGGGAGGGATCAAGAACTCGGGTCCTAGCTCTGGAGGACAAGGACACAAGTTTACCAACAGCCGGACCTTTGGGGATGTTAAGGAGTCTGGTCCTAGCCCCGGCCAAGGGCACTAGCCAGTTGCCAGCTGCACCATCTAATTACCAGGCAATTTGCAGATTAATTGATTCCTTCATTCCTTTATATACATTATTTCGCTATATATCCACCAATTTGGTTTTTTAGTTCTTTTTTCATATGTTATGTTAAGAACAAAAACGTGATTGTCTACTGTTTGAATTAAATGTAGTTTTGTTTTCTCTGTTAATTTTGTAACTTTGCAGCCACGCTGATGTTCTGCGTGCAAACTGCAGAGCTTATGTTATGATGTAATTTTCATAGTACGTACGGATGCAATGAATAAGAAAATAATTTCATGCGACAAAAATGCATGCGAATCCTATGTATATATGTATGCACCAAATACTTTGATTGAAACGCTGGGGAAAAAAATACTATAACAAATAAATTATATGAGAATTGAATACATATAAAGTCAAATTTTCGTGGATTAATTAATTAACCAGCTATAAATAAACGTCGATCTTCGATAAGGATATGAAGTTATTTACCAGCACGCGGTATTGGTGGAATATTCATTTTGATTTAATTATAATCAAGAGGTAGCAAAACCTACATGTGCATATATTGCGAACAGCTAAACTTAGATATTTTATTTTACTTAATTTTGTGAAAGACAAAACTTAGATGTTTTATTTCCTAAACGGCTATGAACTTTAATTTCAGCACAAGAGAGACGCATATCGAACGGAGCTAGCTCGAAGCTAAGTGATGACGAGATCGTCCCGTGATAATTTCTGTTACCGAACCCTGACCCGACAAGATTTAATGGATTGAATTAATTATTAGATTTAACGCGTTGACCCTTTCAACTTTCCTTCAAAAAACGTGCACTAATATTTATTATCTCTAAATCTTGACCTTGTGAGTAGCCGATTTAACAGTGAATTTAATAGATTCATGTGGGGAGGAAAACATTTTTCGATTTTAATTACCAAACAAGTTCAAACTAGGCTTATTTACATTTTATTCCAATTTGTATCACTCCATTATACTCCTTCCGATTCAAAATATAAACTAAACTTTATCCACTTATTTATCAAGAAATTAGTTAAAATCAGTTCAAAACAATAAATATGCAAGGCATAAATTTTTTTTTCCAAAAATGCCCTTATTAATGAAAAGAATAAGTAAAAGATGCAATAAATGAATCAAAAAATAAAAAGAATATATGTGAGGTAAAATTAGAAAAAACTCATTAAATGCTTAGATAAAAGTGAATATTATCTTATAAAAAAAACAAACCCCTCCAGTAAATTTTAGCTTATATTTTGAAGTGAATGGAGTATATGTTTAATCTCTAGCCACGGTCTTCCTTCTCTTGGACCGCAGCCACGTGAAGCTATCCGTGAATTCCTGATGTGCGATCTTTTCGGCAATACCAGGATCAGAGTAGTCGTGATGCACGGTTGGAAAGTCAAAGTATTAGATTCTACCATTCACCAGTTTAACAGTTTTCGATGGCCCTATCTTAATCAATTTGACGTTCACCGTAAGCAAGTTTTGAAACGTCTTTCCTCTATTGCCAAACTTAAATTGCTTTCGGTCCGATCGATAGTTCTCCTGTTTTTATTTGCACGTAGAAAAAGCAAAGCCACCACGGATATATATATCACATGTATATTGTAAAGAAAAGAAAAAAGAACGTAAGTATATAATATACTCTTCCGGTCCTTAATATAGGACCCAATTTTTGAGTTAGTTTTGGTCCTAAATATAAGACCCATTTCTCATATTTATCAATTTTCTCTAAATTACCCCTATAGATACTCCCTCAACCATAATTAAGTAAAAGAGAGAGGGGGTATTAAGAAAGATGATTATGATGTTTTAAGAAAAATGTGTCAATTTTCTTATAATTAACTAACTTACCTAACTTCTTTAATTTAATCAAATTAGTTAAATGGGTCTTGTATTAAGAACTGAAAGAGTAATTTGCCAAATTAGATACTCAACGTAACTAAATTATATAGAAATTAAGAGAAAAGGAGGACCAATGGGCGCCTCACGATCTTGTACAATAGAGTGCGAAAGAGAGAGATGCTTCGGTCAGATCTTGCTTAGACTGGTCAGGCAATTCTCATTAGTACAGAAACACGACAATACGAATCAAGCGGTCTCCACTACTATTACTATAATTTGTTTCCTTGATTTCTAACCCGCGAACCTTCCTCGTTATTTCCGATTCACATGCAACCTCCGGCATTTTCCATTCATTCTGTTGAACGTTGGAACCTAACCATGTGTATATATATTCAGCCTCCAGCCCCTCACATAAAACACGTGTATACAGTACATAATGTGCTTTGGCTCTTCAAAAAAAAAAATCTCATATATATATATATATATATATGTGTGTCTAAGACATTCTCAGCTAGCATTCAGTATCATTATATGCGCACGCGCACACACAAACTAATATCCCACGTCGCCGGCATGGCGATAGGAATACTTGCCAAGTTCTCGACCTTCTTGCTTCTGCTTCTCCTCCTGTTCTTTAGCTCCAAGTCGGAGGCCAGGCCTTCATTATCTCGAGGTTAGATCATAGTGTTAGTAATAACAACTCTCATGAAGCTGTCCTTGAGGGTTTGAATCTTGGAAACAAGTTTGCAGATTCTACAAGTCATGTCCGAAGGCTTATGGATAATGGGCCCAGTCCTGGTCAGGGACACTAGCTTAAACAAGCCATTGGTTGGCTGGCTAGCTTAAGATTGTCCACACTTCTTTTTATTTCATTCATGTGTACTTTTGATGCTCTTTAATTATAACCCAATATAATGTTCGTTCACTTGAATGGCATCGGTCATCAGATTCATAGGTGTCTTGCCACTTATTTCCCTACGTATTGTTAAATATATTGCAATAAATAAATCGAAGCTCACCCGCTTCTCTTCCATAGGTCACTTCAAAAACCACCTCATTAACATACTAGAGTATAATACTCGTTTCACCGTTTCTTCTCGGAGCTTCTGAAAACGTCTGCAGTTAAAAAAAAAAAAAAAAAACTTCTTATGCACTTCAAAGAAGGCTATTGTGGTTAACTAGAATAAGGAGAAGTTCTGCGATGCTAACTTCTGTTATTAAGACTCTGTATCAAATCCTCCCTCCATTACTCATCATAGGATCTCGGACATGTTCTTTATTAATATGACGTACGTGCTTTTGTTTAAGTGTTATATTCTACCAAACATCCCTTCGAAGTAACTAATAACTTTCATTATTGATGATAATTTTAAGATTTTATAATAAATGACTAAAATTTTTTTAAACTCACATAAAGTAGTTATTGGAGGTTACAAAATGAATCGGAAAAAGTAACTAATTGCTCTTTGCTCCTCCATAATTTATCCCTTCAGGGACCACATAATATTCTGTCAATCTTACAGTAATATATAGTACACGTATGTGAGAAAATCGAGTCTTGTCTCCATTAATCGCTCTCGCTTCTATGTTTGGTATGAAGACCACCTCTCTGCGAAAACTCAATTACTGAAGATGAGTCCAATTGGAAAGAGACGCAACGGCAGCACAAGAATTAGTTCCGAAGAATGACAGGAAGATTATGCACATGACTGATGCAGATATGTCAGCATGTGAACAATCTGATCTGGAAGGTAAAACATGAAATGTTCCATACGACGTGTAAAGAATTTACTAATTTCGAATTTATTTTTATATAAAATGCGGACATTTTCCAAATTAAAATATGCTACAGACTGACAAAGTTAAACTCACAACTCACAATAGTCATCAACTGATAGGATTTGCAAATTGGCGGGAGCCAATTTTGCTAGGCTGGTGAAAAAGACGAAAAAGTAGAGACTCCCGCTGGAATATTGCTTAAATTTATTTGGGCTTCTTATGGGCTTGATGAAAGCCCAAAATAAAACGGTCGTGAGATGAAACAGATGGGGTCCATAACCGCTAATGATTTCTGTTCATTTTGTCACTGTGACTCCGACTCCCCCCGAAATCTGCAATAAGGCGCGCTGGTTGGAGCCAGTGGATTTCACGGCGAAAAGGACATCACCTTCAACTTCGAGCTTCCACACGCTGAAGCGTTCCTCTCTCCAGCTCGAACATGGGAAACTCGTCGAAGGACGACTCCACGACCGACGGCGACACATCCGGCGGCAATACTCCGCCTTCTAATTCTAGCCTGTACTCCGGGGCGAGAAGAAAGTAACTTGCCTATCATGGCCCTCGCATCTACGAAGCAAAGGTACCCATCACTTTCCTTTGCAGCTTGCAAATTCATTTTTACTCCTTTATCATTTGATCTGCCTGCTCGCTTTGTTCTTTTTTCATGGAATTATCGGCTCCACTGAGTGTGGCTTTGCTTCGAGCGTTCGGTTGTTAACTGAGAAACAACTTTTCTACGTAATTGTGGTTTCTCTGAAGGCTGTCGTTAAGAAGTTGTTGGAAACTAGAAGTGCTACACTTTCCTCAATTATAGGCACTGGAAGACAGGTTTTGATAAGAATGCTGATTGAATGATTTCCAAATGACCAATTATCGCTGTTCACATTGAGTTTTAATGAACAGTTTCCCTGTAAAAGATCGGCTTCGAAACATTAATAGATTGTTATCATTTTGGTGTCTCAAACAAGCATGGATATGGAAATAACAAAATTTGTCCATATGTAATTTAAGTCGCTACATCGTATCTGATATAAGATGCTTGGCTGTGTCAGACAGACGCAGCTCCTTTTTGATGTGTTTATGCTTCATCCACTTCCATTTGCAGTAATTCTAATGCCTTTCTAATTTCTAAGACAGCATACTTATGTTTTTATTCTATTAAAAGAATGATTATTCAGTTGTTAAGGGATCGTGGCTCCCCATTGCTGCAAACATGGGAATAATGTTAAGAATCTTTGTTATTATAATCTAACAGCTAGTTGGTTTGTCTATAATAGTGGAGGCTTTAAACTTCTCTCTTCAGTAGGTACATCTCGCTAATTTTAAATTAAATCATTCCTTTGAAAGTTCTGTTCCATATATAGATATGAAGCAAATTATCATGCTTAATCTGATATGTTTGTGATTGATTATTATTTGCTTAGCCCTGAGATTGTTCAATCAACGTTCAAGTTTTGACTAGTATGAAATTTAAGGGTGCTGTAACACGAATAAATGAAGATATATCCAGGGTTCTTTCCTCTCATGTCTTCTAATCTTCTTTTGTATGCATGAAATGTGAAGCCTCAGCAGATGAAGTGTTTTTTATTTTATTTTATTTTATATTCTTTTCTTTACCTTCCGGTAGTATTGACCCAATTTACTGTGTTCTATGATAATTAGGTACAAAAAGCTGAGATTCGAAAGAATGAATGGAGATATTTTGTTCACTACCTTGTAAGTTCTTCCAAAATAATCCCTCCCCCCACCGATAGATCTTGTTTCCAGAACTCAACTTGTTTGTATATATAATCTTTATGTGGAGTCTTCTTTAGTTTTAGGTTCATGTAATGTTTCAGCTTTATAGTTGAAAGCTTGAATCAATTAATAGTAGAATTTTGAATGGATTTCGTATTATGCTATTAACTTTTTTGCTTCACTGGTTTCTATTTTGCAGGGATGGAACAAAAAGTGAGTGCCTTAACTTACCTTGATTTCATTTCAAGTTCAGTTTTCAAATTGTGGAGGTGCAGATTGCCTTCGTTAGTGATAAGGCCTGAAACTTTCAGCTTGTGTTAGTTTCATATTGTTATTGTTGTACCTGTTATGTTGAATGGCAACCAAAGCAGTCATGAGGCGGCATAACTTTTCTAACATTGTATTTTGAAACAGCTGTATTGATTCGTCTATGAGACAAGAGAGAATCATTATGTTTGTTACTTATTTCAC